AATGATCTCTGGAGGGCCCGGGACAGAGGTTACTCCTCTGTCCTTGTTCTTTTGGACCTCTCAGCGGCTTTTGATACCGTAGACCACGGTATCATGCTGCGGCGTCTCGGTGGGTTAGGAGTGGGAGGCACCGTTATGCGGTGGTTCTCCTCCTTCCTCACCGACCGTACGCAGTCTGTATTGGCAGGGGGACAGAGGTTGACTCCTAGACCCCTAACTTGTAGGGTGCCTCAGGGGTCGGTCCTCTCTCCCCTTTTGTTCAATATTTATGTAAAGCCGCTGGGGGAGATCATTCGTGGCTTTGGGGTGGATTTCCATCAGTACGCTGATGATACTCAGCTGTACATCTCCACCCCAGGCCACCCCAACGATGCCCTTGACGTGATGGCCCATTGCCTGGAGGCCGTACGGGTCTGGATGGGGAGGAACAGACTCAGGCTCAACCCTTCCAAGACCGAGTGGCTGTGGTTGCCGGCGCCTCGGCATAGTCAGCTGACTCCATCGCTGACTATAGGGGGCGAACTTTTGGCCCCCTCAGAGAGGGCGCGCAACTTGGGAGTCCTCCTGGATCCACGGCTGACATTGGATGACCATTTGTCGGCCGTGACCAGGGGGACGTTTTATCAGGTTCGCCTGATTCACCAGTTGCGACCTTTTCTGGACCGGGACGCCTTGCGCACAGTCACTCATGCTCTCGTCACCTCCCGCCTGGACTATTGCAACGCTCTCTACATGGGGCTCCCTTTGAGGAGGACCCGGAGGCTTCAACTGGTCCAGAATGCGGCCGCGCGGGCGGTGTTGGGAGGGACTCGTCGCTCCCATGTAACACCGCTGCTGCGCGAGCTGCACTGGTTGCCAGTGGCCTTCCGGGTGCGCTTTAAGGTGTTAGTTACCACCTTTAAAGCGCTCCATGGCATCGGACCTGGTTATCTCCGAGACTGCCTTCTGCCACAGATTCCCTCCCATAGACCGGTACGCTCCCACAGAGTGAGTCTCCTCAGGGTGCCGTCGGCCAAGCAATGTCGGCTGGCGACCCCCAGGGGGAGGGCCTTCTCTGTGGGTGCCCCCACCCTCTGGAACGAACTACCCCCCGAGATCCGGACGATTCCGGATCTCCTTACTTTCCGCCGCGCCCTCAANAACATGGTTCATGTAACCTGATACAATTGAAAGTCCAAGTTTTTGAGCCTGAACATGAAAAAATGCCTGAAGTCTTGTTCCAGCTTTTGCTTCGCTTGTATTACGAGCATTATATTCAAAGCAGTTTGAAAACATCAGCTCAACATCCTCAATGAATTCCGCTGCAAGGAAAAATAAATAAATATGCCTTTATAGTCTTTAAAAGCAATGATTTCTAAACAAAGAATTTATCTGTGAAATTGCAGTTGCTTCTATGAGAGCTAATCCAATATAGTGGTTAAGGACCGGAGACCTGTTTTTTTTAACCTGAATACCATTCTTATTGCCAGCAGTTCTCCCAGTCCAAAGAACCTCACAGATTGGAATTGGAAGGGGAGATCACAATCTTTCTCTCAGAATAAGACAGCATAAATATGACAGAGACACAATGCATTCTAATATTTTATGTAAATGTTAATTGTGTTTAGATAGGTATGTCCCAGGGTAGGGGTCGGCAAACTTAAAACACTCAAAGAGCCACTTGGACCCGTTTCCCACAGAAAACACTGGGAGCCGCAAAACTCGCATGTGCGCGCGCCGGAGGGTGGTGGTGGCTTGAATTAATTAAAAAGAAATAGAGGCTGCTGTGCATGAGTTCTCTCTCTCTCTTTCTTTCCCCCCTCCTCTCTCTCCCTCTCTGATCTTCTGCTCACCTGGCAAGCTGGCTTCATGCTGTTCTCCAACAAGCTGGCACACATTCTTATTGGGCTGGCTCTCTCCTGCCCTTGGTCTGCCAGTCCTCTTCCCCCACTGTGTGTGTGTGTGTGTGTGTGTGTGAGAGAGAGAGAGAGAGAGAGAGAGAGAAATATGCTTTCTGCTGCTTCCTGCGGAGACACAGCAAAGACAGGAGCCCCGCCCAATAAGCTTGTCGGAGAATAGTGTGAGGCCACTCTCTTTTTCATACACACACACACACACACACACACACACACAGAGAGAGAGAGAGAGAGAGAGAGAGAGAGAGAGAGAGAGAGAGAGAGAGAGAGAGAGAGAGAGAGAGAGAGAGAGAGAGAGAGAAGGGAAGCAAAAGTGCCTCTCTCTGTCTCTGTCTCTCTCTCTCTGCAAATGGCGGAGGACTGGGAGACGCAGGAAAAGGCTCAAAGAGCCACATGCGGCTCCGTAGCCACAGGTTGCCGACCCGTGTCCCAGGGGAATGCTGTGTTTCTGATTCAAAAGGGAAAATATACTCCAGCCTCCCATGACCCAAGGAAAAAAATGCAGCTGCTTAAAGGAGCTGCTGGTGTAAGGAGTAACTGTGCACTTCAAAACAAACGTTTCCTTTTGAATCTGAAGCACTGCAGAGCCCTAGACCTATTCCAGTGTTATTTTCTATATTTATTATCCAAAGCTTCTGATTATTTAAATTATATTGTTTTAAACATTGTTAAATTATTTAGTCAACATTACTTACAGGCTACTTTGTATTCACATTTGTTCACTTTTTCACGGATTATGTTTAAAGCGATGGGCTTTTTGATTATATCGTAGTAGTCTGGTACCTGTACGTTGTAAAATAAAAAAAATAAATAAAGGATAATTTCATACAAAACAAAACTATTTTTTCTTCAATCCTAGGCAAGTCCTTTGCTTCCAAGCATTTGGTCCTGCTTCCTTGGTATGAAGAATGAAATCCATATAAATATATTTGACATAAATTAGTTTTCAGATTGTGAGGAAGAGAATTATAGCAGTGCTTAAACACAAAAGTTTGTGAACGCATTTGAATTTTGAATATTTCTGTCTAAATATGATTTAAAACATCTCTTCTCCACAGATCCTAAAACTACACAGAGAGAACCCAATTAAGCAAATGAATCTAAAACATTGTATTTGTTCATTATTCACTGAGGAAAAGGACTCAAAACTACATATTTCTATGTGGCAAAAATATGTGAATCTCTAGGATTATCAATTCAGTTGAAGGGGAAATTAATCAGGTGTTTCTATGAGATGACAATCGGGTTTGAGTGTGAGAGATCCTGCCTAAAGAACAGAATCCTGGGAATTCACTATTAAGATCTAATCTCAACACAGTGTATCATGGATTGAACAAAGAAGATTCCTGAGGACCTCTGAAAAATAATGGTTCATGCTCACCAGGCTGGAAAAAGTTACAAAACTATTTCTAAAAAATTTGGACTCCACAACTCCACTGTCAACATCAGTATTTCCCTCCCCAGGAGTGGTCAGCCAACCAAAACCATCTCAAGACCAAGGTATGTAATACTCCAGGGCGTCTTAAAAAACATTTCTAAACCAAACAGTAACAAAGCCTCATCCTACTTTGTCTTTTTAAATCCACTGAATTCAGCTAACCATTTTGGTGAGGGTGAGCAATATTATTTAGCTGATTTAAAAAACACTACAGATTAATTAGTTCTGCATCCATACAACCCATCAAAGCTAGCCTGTTACTGATTATATAATCTAACAGCATATTGGTTATTTTTCAATTAGCACATATTGTTGTTAATTGCGAAGTCGTGTCCGACCCATCGCAACCCCATGGACAACGTTCCTCCAGGTCTTCCTGTCCTCTACCATCTTCTGGAGTCCATTTAAGCTCACGCCTACTGCTTCAGTGACTCCATCCAGCCACCTCATTCTCTGTCGTCCCCTTCTTCTATTGCCCTCAATCTTTCCCAACATTAGGCCCTTCTCCAGTGAGTCCTTCCTTCTCATTAGGTGGCCAAAGTATTTGAGTTTCAACTTCAGGATCTGGCCTTCTAAAGAGCAGTCGGGGTTGATTTCTTCTAGGACTGACCGGTTTGAACTACTTGCAGTCCAAGGGACTTGCAGGAGTCTTCTCCAGCACCATAGTTCAAAGGCCTCAATTCTTTGTCGCTCAGCCTTTCTTATGGTCCAACTTTCACATCCATACATTGCAACTGGAAAAACCATGGCCTTGACTATACGCGCTTTTGTTGGCAGGGTGATGTCTCTGCTTTTTAGTATGCTGTCTAGATTTGCCGTAGCTTTCCTCCCCAGGAGCAAGCGTCTTTTAATTTCTTGGCTGCAGTCCCCATCTGCGGTGATCTTGGAGCCCAGGAAAATAAAATCTGTCACTACCTCCATTTCTTCCCCATCTACAGTATTTGCCAGGAATTGAGAGGGCCGGATGCCATGATTTTGGTTTTCTTAATGTTGACTTTCAAGCCAACTTTTGCACTCTCTTTCTTCACCCGCATCAAGAGGCTCTTTAGTTCCTCTTCACTTTCTGCCATTAGAGTGGTATCATCTGCATATCTTAGATTGTTGATATTTCTCCCGGCAATCTTAATTCCAACTTTTGATTCATCTAGCCCTGCCTTTCTCATGATGTGCTCTGCATATAAGTTAAATAGGCAGGGCGACAGTATACAGCCTTGCCGGATTCTTTTCCCAATTTTGAACCAATCAGTGGTTCTGTGTCCAGTTCTCACTGTTGCTTCTTGACCCGCATATAGGTTTCTCAAGAGACAAATAAGATGGTCTGGTACTCCCATCTCTTTAAGAACTTGCCACAATTTGTTGTGATCCACACAATCAAAGGCTTTAGCATAGTCAATGAAGCAGAAGTAGATGTTTTTCTGGAACTCCCTAGCTTTCTCCATGATCCAGCGTATGNAGTATGATAATCAAGAAATTTACAAGGTTTTAAATTTGTCTATGCGAGGCCTATTTCTAATTTATTATTTTTATTTGTTTGCAATTTTCCTTCCCTGTATAACTTATTTATGAAGATCAGATTTCATTAACATTTAGTCATTTTTCCTCCTTGTGATTATTTCCAATATACATTCAAGTTAATTATTTTAATACTCTGAAATTCTTCTTCTTCTTTCTTCTTTCTTCTTCTTCTTCTTCTTCTTCTTCTTCTTCTTCTTCTTCTTCTTCTTCTTCTTCTTCTTCTTCTTCTTCTTCTTCTTCTTCTTCTTCTTCTTCTTCTTCTTCTTCTTCTTCTTCTTCTTCTTGCTCCTCCTTCCTTCCTTCCTTCCTTCCTTCCTTCCTTCCTTCCTTCATCACTTTAGCCACTGTCTATCTACTGTAGGATGAAGGCATCTTCCACATGTTTCCAACCTATACAACCCTGAGCTTTCTTTTGCCAATTGGGCCCGCAATACTTGCTGATGTTGTTGATCCATCTTGTTTTAGGTCTCTTTCGTGGACACTTTTTATCAAGTGGGATCCATTCTATGACTGCCTTGGTCCACCTGCCATCAGTTCTTCTTGCTATGTGACCAGCCCATTTCCAATTCCATTCTTTTACTCTCTTGATGATATTTACCTGTATTTTGGAAACCAATTTCATAAAAGGCCAACTGTCATCATGTCGCACCAGTTCTACAACAAGCTGCTCAAAAGCAGATAATTCATGTACTCCACCCTGACGCCCTGAGGTCCTCCGATTCAGTGGCACTTGAGAAGGTTCTGAAATAATAGGATCACATATGAACATCAAAAAAAGACAAATGTAGAGAAAGTAGAAATTTTTTTCATATATCCACCTTTATAAACTTGTTCAGGTCTTTGGCCTACAGATAGTCTTTGCTTAATGATGGAAATTAGGAATGGCAATCCTGTCACTAAGCAATGCAATCATTAAATGTAACATCACATGACTGACTTATAACAGCAGTTGCAGCCATTCCAGTTGTCATTGTTAGATGAATTCTGTGTGCACAGTTTCTGTGATCACTATTTGCAACCTCCTATTGGTTTCCCAATTGACTTTGCTTGTCAAAAGCCAGTAGTGAAGGTTGAAAATGGTAATCACATGACCATGGAACACTGCGCTGTCATAATTGTGAGTTGGTTCTCAAGTGCCCAAATTATAATCATATGATCACAGGAACACTGAAAGCCAAATTATAAGGATCATAAAATCCCACATTTAGCACTGTTGTAACTTAGAACAGTTGCTGAATGCATGGTTACTAAATGAGTATACTAAGGATAATTGTATAGTATTCATTTATTACTTGCTTCCACAATGGCAGATATAACTCAATCCCAAGTGTTTCAGCCAAATAAGGTGAATTAAAAGAGACTTCATTTACCAATCTCCCATACCTATTTATACAACTAGACTCCATATTACCAAAATTGGAATACAAGAAAGAAAAAATACTTTTTTATAATTCCCTATTGTAATAAGTAGAAATAAATTGTTCTGAGCCTGGCTTGTTCCATTTTATGAAGAAAAACATGTTCAGGAAACATAGTTGTACTGGCACTTGTGCTAACTCATTTCAATTCAAGCTGTTTGTAAAATTCACAAAAGTTGATTCAAACACAGCTCACTCTTTCAACAAAGGTAGTTTCACCAATCAATGGTTTCTGTAGCAAATCACAATGTCATCATATAAATATTATCAACTGTCCACCCTGAGAGAAACTCATGTCACCAATTTACAATGTTTTATTTAGGCATTTTCAACTATAATTGCTATTCCAAGCATTTTCTGATCCTGATTTGTTTGCTTTCAATATATTATGTTGAATATTATGAGGCTGGCTAATCAATAAGCATAAAAAATAATCTCAATTGAAACAATTCAGTTAAGAATTCTCCTTCTATTCAAGCTACCCCAAATCAAACTAAGAAAGCATTCTACAGAATTGCCATAAATAATTTTATGCTTGCAAATTCACCAATTAACTGTCTTCTGTTCTTAATAATGGAAAGCAGCATTAGACTACTTCACTAAACAACCAAGTGACACTAAATATGAACTAAATTTATTCTGGCAGTCAATTTTATTTTAAAGGTTCGATGTACCTGTAGACTGACGTTTCCTACCCCTTTTGGGGGGATCTGTATCTTGTGATTTTTTCCCCACTGATATTGGAGAGCTTTTCTCTTTCCTTAAATTCATCTCATCAATAATTCTGAAGCCAAGGGAACCAGAAGAACTACTCTCTGGAGTAGAGTCTGTTGTCTTTGTTCCTCTACGTTGTCTTCGATGGCTGGTCAACTCTATAAATGCCTCTGCCTTCAGCATTTCTTGATTATGGCGAGTAATACGACTACTAAGTCGTAATGTTTTTGTCACTGATGGAGGAGCAGATTTTGTTTTTCTAATGTTCTTTCCAAGAGCTTTATATGAAGAGCCATTTTGCTTAGGTGTATTCTGCTGACTGCGAGAGTTGTATCTTCCAGTATTCAGTTGATTACTAGCAAGCTTTGGGGCTCTTGTTCTTAAAGTAAGTTTTACTTGAGGCTTCCCCAATTTGGATAAGCTGTAAGAAGTTAGAGAATTATAAATGTTTGTGATACAAATATTTTTATTCTGTTTTATTCTTTGAACTTGTGAATTCAGCACTAAATGGAAAAAGTAAGATACATTCAGTCAGATTTCTTAAGTGTGTATATACAAACAGGACCCTGCAGTACAGAAATTCCATTCTAGAATCATCAGCTATGGTATTACTTCTGATTCCAAAGTGCACAAATGAGGGTTTTCAAAGATGGTAATGTTAGTACAAGGACATTCCAAAATGGATATTAGTATTTCTTTACATAACCTGGTCTCAATTAATACAAGAGTTTAAAATATGATAAGCAATTGTCAATGAAAAAGTTTAAAATCTAGCAAGATATTTTTCTAGTTAAAAGTTCCAGTCAGTCTCAACTTTTTTAATTAACTGGAAATTCTAAACAAATTTACATGAAGCCTGAAGTGCAGTATAATGGACTACTTTAAATTGGTGTTTTCTGGAATATGGATGAATTACAAGCTGTCTCTGGCATATTAATACTATCAGTTAGAGAACAGTAAAGTACTACCAGATCTTCAGTCACAACTCTAGATCTAGAAGAATGTGCAATCAGAAGTAGTCCATCTTTCTGGCTAAATGATGAAACCAAAACTAAAGCTATGAATAGATAAATGGATAGCTACTATATTCAAGTATAATGCAATTTTCTCCAGCTCTTCCTCTTCTATTCTGCTGTCTCCACATCCACTCCCCAGACTTTTTTGTCTTTCTTATTGACAATTGTTAAATCTGTTATGTGGCAGGGGGTTGTTTGTTTGTTTGAATTCTAAAATTCCAGAGCACTTTAGCATCTTCATTTTGCATTTTTCTATTGTATGATCCCACCAGTTCTTGCTTGCAGGCAAATGATATTTCTTGCAGATATCCCAATGGACCATTGTTACTACTTTGTCATGTGGTTGTTTGTAGTCACTCTGTGAAACTAATATAACTAATATCTCTTGCTTATGTCTCCAAGTCTCAAGATTTGTATCCCTAGAAAGAAAACTAGAGAATACTGGAAGTCTGTATGCAGCTTCTGCACATTTCTAACTTAGTTTTGGATTTACCTTTTCTCATCTTCTTGAGAATCAGAATTGTCAATATTCTCATCCTCTTCTTCCTCTTCATAATCATCTTCACTTTGCTCAATTTCCTCATAACTAGTTTCATCTTCTTCTTTAATTTGTTCTATAGCCTCTTCATCACTTTCCACAGAAGTTCTCTGTCTGGATGAAAGCCGCCTAGAGCGCTGCTTAGGTCGACATTCCGGACAAAACCAGTCTCCGTCAGGAACAGCCTCGAAGAGAGCCAGAATGTATTACTGAAATGTTTTTTGCTACTTAAGATCAGAAATAATTTTTAAACTTTCAAAGCAAATACTTCAAATTACCTTAAGCTTTGGTCTTATACAGTAGATATGATAGCCTCGATCACAGCCATCACAAAGCACCATGCTTTCAGCATCCCCTTTCTTTCTACACATTTTGCACCGAGTATTTAAAATAGACTTAGACCAGATTACGCTTCGCTCCAGTGTTGAGAGATGAAGGAAGATCTGAGAGAGGCTAGCAGAAGAAAGAAGTGATTCTCGCCAGCGATCCAAGATGGTTTTGTGTGAACGGCCACCATCACTGCCATCTTCAAATAAAGAAAACAAATAATATCATGCTATTATTATCCTACTTATTATGGAGTGAAACATCTGTGTTCTAATACTACTTCCATAGCACAAAATATGCAGAATAATCAACCTTGTTTAAAAGTATATTCATTTTTGTAAATCTTAATATAGACTCTTTTTTCAGAGTGTTAAATGAACTAAATGGAGTCATTTAATAGATATGAATATTTGGTATTCAAAAAAGTTTTAGAAAACATCAAAAGCTAAACTCGATGGTAGGTAGGAAAAAATCATCATATAAATGAGAAATGAGAAATTGGTTCATGATCAGACAATAGAGGATAAGTATAATTATAAGCAGCATACTGTTAGTAGTTTCTCTGTGATCCTACTTCAGCTTTAATTTTCACAGAAGTTGTTATTCAAAGAAACTATTTTTAAAATAATTAATAAAATTACAAAATATAATATAAATAACTCCTATAATATTATGAACGTGTATACTGGATGGATGGCTTAGATTAGAATAATTAGGTGGACATAGCAAGTTATCTGGTGTAATAAAAATTTGTAAATTTACTCCAGTGGCTTTTGATTGCAATAGTTCTCTTCAGTAGTACAGACTAAAAATATTCTCATTGTTCTAAATAAACACACATACTGTACTAGTTTTTTCTCCAATAATTTATCTATAGCAGATCATTGATGATATACCTGCTTACTCCCTACAATCCAGAATATTAATTCATCTGCACATAAACAAATTCAACTTCAAAGATTACCAGTTACTATTTAAACTACAATGTCTCTTTTCTTACTTGTAGTGTCAAAAGAATTAGATAAATAATTCATCTGCATGTAAGTTTTTTACATATGAAAAACTAATCAATGAGAGGGGCAATATGATTTCAAATGCCAGTTTGTTGAAAGATAAAAAAAATGGCAAAGGATCATTCTTCTACAAATTATTTAAAATGCACTCTGTGGCTACAATAAGGTCAAACAAAATATAACTGGTCTAGCGGCATGACAAATCTGTATTAATGCCCCAAATTAATGACAGATTAAAGAATAGTGACCAAATTGAAGCTGCCCAGAAAAAAAGAAAAGCTGCCATTTCTTTTGGATATAATCTCACTTCTTTGAAATAATCATGTTCTTGTTAGGTCATCAAACAGCTGTGTCTAACACAACATTTACCTTATTAATGCCAGACACATTTGTTTTTGAAGAAGGCAATTCCAGCTTGTCCCGTTGCCTTAGTTATAAAGCTGGATAACTGCCATGCACTTTGTAGAAAGCAATATTTTGGAAAAATATTTCATATATAGATTGTAATTTTGAGCATGTTTTTAAATGCAAGAAAATCTATGGTTTACCATATTTATTCTGATCTTCTTCTGTCTTCCTCCTTTTATCACCTTTTTGGTCTCTTTTATTTTCTTCTGCATCACCTAGTTATTTCAAGTTTATTTGGAAACAGAAGAGAACCTTTCACTAGCATAGCCTATTTTTCCAAAAATAAGATTCCATTGCTATAGGAACCAGGACCATTGGGGTGGGGAGGAGAAATGGGAAATAAAAGAGTGTGCCTAAAAATTGACTTTGTCTTTCACTATAGCAATGTGTATTATCAAAATTATTGTGAATTTTGCAGTTTTACAAACGTTTTCAGTACTCCATTGGGTATATCATGTTTTGCCTCTGTATCCAAAGTTATATCAGAACAAAAAATTAAAACAAATTGTTCATGCTGAGAATGCATGTCTTGCATTTCTATCATTCAATATTCAACATTTTAAAGCCGGGCGGCTACACTTTGCTCAGTCTTACAAAGTGAGGCTTACAAAATCTTACAAAGTGAGGCAATAAAATGATTTTTCTGATCTCAGCATGGTCAGAATACACACACAATCCATTCATCCTTTTTTGACAGGATTATGATCATGTGTATTAGGGTCATGTAAAATATACACATTCAGTATAATACATCCCATATTACAGTGTATTTTTTTCCTGAAATTGGAAATGTCAATGGAGATTCTCAGTCATCCATGTCATGGTTGTTCCAAAGCTACTTTTTCAGAAGGCAACTGGACTTTCTTTATTTTTCCTTGAAGACGTTTCGCTTTTCATCCAAGAAACTTCTTGGATGAGAAGTGAAATGTCTTCAAGTAAAACAAAGAAAGTCCAATTGCCTTTTGAAAAAGCATCTTTGGGACACCTGAAAATGGGACAAATTAAAGAGTTCCATTCCACATTGTTTCAAGTATTTTTCAATGTCCAGTGATTATCTTCTTTTTCTAAATTTCTCAAACTATAGAGACTTAGAAATTGTATTTGTAGACACAAGGCATATGATTACAGGCTAACATTACTATTCTTTTCAGTAGCCTTGGTTCCATAAATTTTCAGAATAACCTTCGATCCTTCTAGAAAGTTAGTGTGGAGGGCCTATGTTTGGCTTATAGATCTGTCCCAGAATTTGCTGCTATAATATAATAATAATGCCATAGCAGCAATTGGGTGACAGGAGGGGATAATGATCCTCTTTAAAAACAAAAAACAGACTTTTGATGCCTGAGCATTATTCTGTTAGAGGGACAAGAAATAGACATTCTGCAGCACATTAGCCTCATTAACCGTCTGGAGAGAAGGGTTTGGATTAATTTGAATTTCTATCCTTTTGCTAGAAGACAATCAAACACCATATAATATGTATTTGTGCTTGCGAAAGGAAGAGGATATAGAGTTAATCGGCCATGTGTCACTATAATTGTTGCTGAGGGAATTGTTGGGGAATTCTGGGAGTTGAAGTCCACAAGTCTTAAAGCTACTGTAGCAATTGAGAATTCTATATACAGTACAGTATTTCCTAGTAGATTATCTAGCCTGTTCTCATATGTGATGGTTATATTAAACTAAACTGAGTAATTTATTTTAAGTCAGGTTAAGAGGAAAGTATTTTTACTTTTGTTTCTGATTAGCAAGTATGAGAAGATGCTACAAATTGAAAGACTGAAGGCAAAAGGAGAAGGAGAGTGAAGATGAGATGATTATATAGTGTCTCAACATGATGAACATGAATTTGGGCAAACTCTGGGAGACAGTGAGGACAGGGAAGCCTGGCATGCTATGGTCCATGGAGTCATGACTTAGCAATTGAACAACAAGCTTCAAGTGTGCTTCATTATTGTTCCTATTTATTACAGGGGTTTTCAAATCCCTTTTAAGATAATCTATTTCACCAGTTTTTCTGAAGAATCTCTGTAAAATCTACTTCTGTGGACCTAGGATGAAAAGTACAGAAGTAAAGCGTGCTTAGAGTTCCCTTTTTGCTAATTTCATGTATGACCTTTGCACACATGTTCAGTCACTTGTCTCTAAAATACAATGACAATTTTAAACTCCAACTTACTTACTTCCCAATTTTAATGAATTGTTTAATACATCTGCTATGCAATTTGTTAATGTATCTGTTTGATCCAAATTACTTTTTCCTTCATAAATCAACAGAGTTCCAGAAGTAGACACTTACCAAGTGGGGCTTTGAGAAATTTGCGTTCAATTCCTTGCTGTATCTGAAGCAATGCCAATGCCAAATAATGTACAGTATTATTCATAGGCTGTGGAGTACTCGTATTAGTTGAAGTAGTACTTCGAGATTCAAGTTTTAATCCTATCAATCTAAAATAAAGTTTAAAATTGGTCAATAACTTAAAACCATGTATTTATTGTATCTGCTATTTATTTATTGTGTTTATCTATTGCCATGTTCAACAAAAATAATCCTGATAGGTTATAATATAAAATCAATATAAAAACATAAAGACCAGGAAAAGCACAAATACCGTAACTATAAAACAGTAAGCATGATAGTGATTATACATTCCCCAGAGGCCCTGTGGAACACCTGCCTTTAACGTTTCTAGGTCCTCAACAATGAGAGTGCCAAACTAATTGCAAGGAGAAACATAATTCTACACTACTATGGGACAGCAACATAGAAATACTGCCTGCAACCTCTGCCCCCCTTCAGCTCATCTATATGGCAAGACCCAATGAATAAGAATGATCAGGATAAGAATTCATGAATTTGCATTCTGCTGAGTATAATTTATAACATTGCAATAAATACTTTATTAAGAAGCATCTATACATAAATCAACTTCAAAAACCTTGTTTGAACAGAATACAACTGTGAAATTCATTTATCACATTTATAAACTACCCATTTCATAGAGACTCTGAGTGATGTATTAATAGACATAAAAACATAAAAACCATATTTATATTCTAAAAGCAGGGAACAAAGCAGTACCAATGTGTTTTACACAATTCATCAAAAATGACACCAGAATTCTTGGTTCAGATGGTGTTTATAAAGTAATTAAAAGTAACTACTTAAAACTACATTCCCTTTCTCAAAAGGGAAAATTCTGAAAACATATAACCTTGTGATGTCTAATATGCCATCAAATGCAATATTGTGCTATGTACAAATCTCGGTAATATCAAGATTATAGCTCATCCATTTTAATGCTGTTAAAAATTCATAGTTTCTCTTTAATTATGACAGTTTCAGAAAATTGTTTAATCTTATGTCTCTACAGATAATTGTATAGCTTAGTTAACAAATTAATTATAATGACCACTGACCAACATAAGGACAGATTTAACCATAATTTCAACTGGATACTGTGAGCATTCTAGCCCAAGCTAAATCCAGAAACTGCCAGGGAATTCTTAGAAGCTTGGCACTTAAGAGAAATCAGCCATGAACAGGCACATAAACAACATTTACACACTATTCATAAGAGACAATAAAAAAGCTAAAAAGAAAACAAAAAGACTAGAACACCTTCTTGCCAGCAATCAATACCCAGATAAGCAAGGAATAACACTAGGATTAACACCAGACAATCAAGTTGCAAACAACAGGAACCACCAACTCAGACAAACAAGCAGTAAACAATGACCTAATCAAAGAATTACTAAGGAGAAAACAACACCCCACCCACCAAGTCTGAAAGAGTAAGCTACTGTCTATAAATAGAGAGCAAACCTAACTCCCTTTCAGCATGAATAGGTTACCTAGTTGGGTAACAAAACGTTTGCAAAAAAACATCGAAGCTCAGAATACATCAAGGACTCATTAGCATGCTTCACACAATCATTACTAGGGCTATGTTAAATGTTTGTTCATATATACAAATATTATACTTCCCAAAAAAAGATCCACCCCTTCACTGTATTAACTGTATTCAGAAATGTGATTACTGAATGACATAGCATCATGTCATTATCAGCTACAAAAGCTATCTTATATTAAGTCAGATCACTGGCCAATATCTTAACGTTTGGTGATTTTGTTCTCCAGTATTTAAGACAAGAATCTTATCTGGAATTTCCAATGATTTAGCTTGAGATCTTCTGCAAAAAATATTTGTAGTATACCATTGAACTATAGCTTTTTTGTTTTTAAGCAAATCAAAGAAAGGGGAAATAGTGGCAGGCAAGACATTTTCTCCTAAAAATAATCAAGCTTAAATGGTGTGTGTGTGTGTGCGTGTTTCTCAATGGTCTTTTAAGTTTAGATGCTGGTTTACTTTTATTATCAAAAGCAGAATTTATTGTTTTTTAAAAAAATGATAAATGGAAGGCTATCCTTTTCCTCCTTTCCCTCAGACCTCTTACCATATACTAAATTATTTATACAATCTTGGCTTATTGAATTATCTGTCCTCTTCTATCGAGTGGTGCCTTTGCACATCTCTTTTAATTCCATTTTGATGTTGTTTATTAAGTTAAGAATTACAATTTCATAAAATGTATATACTAAGTTTGATATTGTACAAAAATTGACAACTCAATATTGTGCAAATTAACAACAAAATACTTTTTCCCAATGTGTTTTAGGCTTTCTCTATTATGTGCACAAACTCTATTTAAAAAAAATCCAAAGAGAATACTGTCTGATTGTCAATATTTTCTAAGATTGCAAGATTATATCCTTTAATGAAACGGGTGGTTAGAGATGAAATGCAATTTATCCATTCAAATATTAATTAAAAAATAAAATATCTAGACAATAGCTATTACCTGTCTTTCGCAAGAATTCTTATTTGATTATCTATTACCATCTCTTCCACATTTTCATTAACAGATTTTATTACACCATTTTCTTTATTTTCTTCACTTAGTAGTTCATACTGCCCATTTTCTAAGGCTGCTTTCCAACTGTATCTGTCCATTACCTGTAAGTACAATTATATTTACTCAGGTATCTGTCATACAGAAAAACCTTTTTTTAAATTACATTTGCATTTTCAAGCAAATAAAAGTAGTGCTTTGAAAGAGTTCAGCAATTTCATAAGATACCATTCTTCATAAAAATTAAGGAGTCAAATACCTTAATGGAGCCCAATGTTCCTTGGAAAATTCTATCTTCAATGTCTAAGAGAAAGTCTCTAAGCCTTAATTCAAGTTGCTTTTCTGCAGATTTTTGGACTATATCATAGCCATTTTGTATTTTTCCACGTCCAAACTGTGGCTTGGCTTCATTCTGTGTTTTTTCTGTAACATTAAGAGATTATATAGAATGCCTTCATACTTGACCATAAATCTTTTATTTAATATTACTGTGAAAAATATTGTTTAATTATTCTGTATTAATAATATTGTAACAATATTTTGCAATAACAATGCTGCTGTATCCCACTGAAATACATTGTTCACTGAACTGAGTAAAGTGCCCACACTTTCTTCACAGTAACAAAGAACTGGCTCTTTAAGAGAGCATTTGAAGGTTAAAAGTCACAACTTAAGATTGTTTTTGATATCTCTTATTTTTATATTATTACTGTTACATTTCTGTTCAGATGGATATTTTATAGGATTTTAGTTGGATATTAGCTATCTAGAGCTCTTGGCCCTAGTGAAATATAAACAAAATCTAATATGTAGCAAAATCTTTGTAAAGTATAGAATGTTTTATATAGTCCTGGTAAGATTTTTGTATATTTGGTTAAAGAAGAGATTGCAAAATTCAGGAACCATACTGACAGTATTAACAAACTATGATTCATTTAAACTAAAATTATCTCAATTGTATGAATAAGAACAAATTCTACATGATATAAACTAAATAACCATAAAGCCTTCAATCATTAACATCTAGGAAGTTTACCTGAAGTATAGAATTTTTCAATAGGAAAACTACTAAACTGTTCACATATTCTGGATTTTTCCTGTAAAAGAACTTCCTTCAAGGCACTTTCCCTATATCCTCGGGAATTGAGAGCTTCTAGGAGTTGGTCAAACTGTTCCTGAGAACTGTAAAAGCACCACCTATTTGGCTTTTGTATTGGTTGTGATACATTTACAATAGCACTAGTATCCAAATCTTGGCACGTATTGGAGGTAGATTCTGTTGTCAAAGACTCTCCAGTTTTAACGACTATCTGAGATTTTTCTGAAATATGAGCCTGTACATTATTATGAAATGAAGATGGCCGAGGCAACAGCATGTCTTCTGTAAGACCAGAATAGTCTTCTTCCACAAATAGTCCTGGAATAGATGAAAAAAGCCAATAGCGTCGATATAAGCGGTCACGGCCCAAAGGAGAAATATTGGTGCAGACTGTAGCTTTCTGAATCTTTTCTATGAGTTCCTTTTCTTTATTTTGTTGTTCCTGTTTTAAAGCTGCCTCTTCTTCTGCAGTGAGCAGTTCACACTTATCATCAGTAGTCCCCACTTGTCTTGTAAAATCTTTAAAGCCATTCTGTCCTCCTTGCCCTAGAAAAAGTTGACAAAAAAAATTACAGATATGAGCACAGGACAAGCAGCTTAATTAAAAACCATTTGTATTTTTTTTACAGATTATAAAAAAGCAAACATTTCATGCAAAATATCCAACTTAAATTCTAAATTTATAATAGTGCTGATTGTTTGAATGAGGCAGAGAAAGTATAGAGAATGGCTACTGACATTCTCTCCAATCCTTTGATTACAACTCAGTTCTGGGTTACATGACAAAGAAAGGAGAATGATGGAGCTTAGACTGGAGAAATCAATAACATACTGAGACATTGCCCATTGGCTTCTCCCATGAAGCCACACTGGGAAAACTTCTATTTCTCTGCAGTTCCGGGCTGGAGCCAGCCCATTTTCAAACCAGGCATTTCTTCTGCCAGCTCTTCACTAAATAAAATGTCATTCCATTCTGTTTGTTTTCAGATATTTATTCTGCAGATGGACAAATTTATGTATAGAGTCCTGAGGAACTTTATATAATTTATTTCCAATATTCTATTTCAGAACAACAAAAAATTGTTTTGGAGGCAGCTGGTAAAGGTATTTTATATGAAGAGTTTTTTCTGCAAAGTGGCTCTGAGCTAAGACTGATTAATAGATCTGTCTGTCTGTCTGTCTGTCTGTCTGTCTGTCTGTCTGTCTGTCTGTCTATCTATCTATCTATTTATCTATCTATCTATCTATCTATCTATCTATCTATCTATCTATCTATCTATCTATCTATCTAATAAACTGACCATCTCCCTCACAGAGGAACTCTGGGCAGTGTAGAAGTAAAAGCTAAGTCCTTTTACAGGTAAATTTACTACTACAACTGGGACCAGAATTTCCATTGCAATCACAAGGTGAATCAGACCCAATTTTACAATAATTTTTACAGCAATCATTAAATGAATCACCATGGATGTACACAAAGAATAACATACTTTCTTTTTAATGGAACTACCAATTGCAGTGAAGTATACAACTTTACTTTTTCCCTAATATTGTATATTGTTTTGCCTTAGAAAACAATGCAATTATATGAGTCATACAATTTCAGATTAAATAAATCGGATAATAATCAGAGGGGGGAAAAGTGATGACACAGTAGAAGTATAAAAATATAAAAACAAGAATATAGTCTATTATATAAAATTATTCAACAGTATGCATATTTTACATATGAAGAAAAATTTAACACCACCAAACACCACATAACACCACCAAAAAGTAATGAAACAAAGTGGTGAGTAGCTTTAAATATCAAAGTTGATCAACATAATAACTGATTCATATAAATAAACCAAGCTGACTTTAACTTGGTGGAAAAGGAAGCAATGCTGAAGTTCCAATTGTACTCTTTCATTCCAATGACAACCTTAGAAATTGAGTCTGAGTCAATGAATTAAAGTTTAACAAATACCTTTTTTGTTATTTGGTGACGGGTTATCTTCTTCATCTGTCATGGCACCTACTTCTTGCTCCTTTGTTTCAACCCCCTTGCTGTCTGTACTTGTATCAAGCTCTTCTCGATCTTCATCGCTGATACTGTAGACAGAAAAATGGACAGGTTCAAAGAAAAGTAAATATCATAAAACAACATTTGATTGTGCCATCTATGTCTATATCACAAGAGAAAGGTGCTGCTATCCCCTAGGAATAGATTTTTAAGGAAAGGAAGTTTTCCAATGACTAAAGAATGAAATGTATTTGAATATTAGTAGCTCAGGTTGTAGTTGGGCTGTTGGTTTGAGCTCCGAGCTTGGCAATATGATTGCAAACGTTTCATTACCATTCAAGGAGAAATTATCAGTGCGCTTTGAATTGTGCTCATCTGTCAGAATACTGGCCCTTCAAAAGCTTTTTATGTGAAATCATAACCCTTCACAAGTGATCGGACGTCTCAGTAATGGCAGCCAGTCAATCAAACAATCCAAAACCAGACTATGACTCAGAAGCACCCGAACGAACAACACGAACGCTAATTTGCATCACACAGAGGGTACTTAACACCAAAGACTGCAGCCCAGCAACAATCATCCAAACAGCCCGAAATCAGACCATGACTCAGAAATATCCGAATAAATAACATTCATACCAATTTGCATCACATAAAAAGGTATTTAAAGGCCAGTGTTCTGATAGGCGAGCACAATTCAAAGCACACTGACAACATCTCCTTGAATGGTGATGAAACATTTGCAACCAAACTGCAAAGCTCGGAGCTCAAACCAACAGCCCAATGACTAAAGAATGTTCCACCTATAGTCTGATGATATACTAAAATAACTGTTATGGTGCATCTTCCTTTGAATATATACAATAAGTATGATTGAAGTAATTTGAAAAGGACTTGAAAGTAATTGGAAAGCTAAATTTATACTAATCCTATATAGCTCAAGGATTCCCAAACCAGGCCTCAGGATCCCCTGGGGTGTATAAATACAAAGAAATTCCAGTTGGGGGAAGCATGAGAATGTAATGCTTTTAAAAAGAAAATTATAGTTTGTTGTAGAAAGTGGTAGAACATTGTCAATATTTCAGGCACACTTATGACAATTTGGGAATGATCAGAATTGTTGAGTTTTGATTTGCAGTGGAGTAAGAATGTGTAAGACTGTGTAAGTAACAATAGTGAGCGTCAATACCAGTTCCTGTAAAACAATTTGCTTGCATCTGTTAAATTTATTTTTAATTTAATTATTACATTTATTTATAAATTTAACATGTGTATATTTTAATAACACCAGATGGCCATAGTTAAGAAAATACAATCAATACTCTATATTACATATGACTTCACTGTCAATTGCCTATTCAATTGTGTATAAAATGCCATTCAATTCTTAACAAGAGTGCTGTGGGTTCATATTATCTTGAATGACCCATTACAATAGAGTACAATAGAGTACTTGAAAGACAAGCCCAAGGAGTTCTGAAGTTCAGAAACTGAAATACATGGCATCCATTCTGCTGCAGCTGTTTGTCAGCCAAAGTATCAGAACCTTCTTAGGAACTGTTATTACATACAGCTAAGAAGGCATCTAGTGCAGGAGCAACTTCTTTGAAATTTGCTGAAAGCAATTGTGATGGTACTAAGTAACAATAGCAAAAAAATGTTGTTAGAAATTTTACATTTTGGAAATTCAATGAACTGTCACAATGATCTTACCAAAGATCTCATATGTCAAG